CGGCAACATTTTAATTTTAGTTATTTTGCCTTAGCCGTGTCTTTTCGCGGACATGTGATTTTTCTCTCCGCGGTAGCCTTATATTAATTTTTTTACGAGGAAGAGAACGTCGATTGCTATCCTCGTGCAAGAATCAGGTGCGTGAACGGCGGTACTAACGATCCGCTGGTAAATTCCGCTCCAAACGATCCCGGGGCGATTAACGACGTCTTGCCTAATTCTCATCTCGTGCCGGAGGTCGGACCTACCTTCGGCACCACCGAGAGCGCGCTCGGTGGGTGGCGCGCTAATTTTTGCGCGCAAGAAAAGCCGCGCGGCGCCGCGCGGAGGCGCGGGAGGAAGCGCGCATCTGGCCGTTTTCCCATCCGCAGGAGATCAACGGACAAATGACACGCGATTCCCTACAAGCCCTCGCGATGGCGATGCTCCGCATTTACCGTCAGTTACAAACTACCCGGCCCCGCTTTACCACCCTCGCGCCAGGTCACGATTAATGTCTTATTCGCGCGTGCGAGGCCTCCTCAGGAGGAAGAGAGAGAGAGAGAGAGAGAGAGAGAGAGAGAGAGAGAGAGAGAGAGAGAGGAGGAGGAGGAGGAGGAGGAAGAAAAACCGGGAGATTAAAGCGGGAGATGAGAATAAACCTGAAAAAAGCTGCTCGACTAACTGGGGCATAATATTATGTCGCTAAAATTATCTTCCCGCGCGCCACGAAATTTCCGACGTTTCGACGAGAGACGTGTTTGACTTGGAAAAAGACCCACATAGAGCCCTATCTGCCTACATACACCGGATCCCCGCAAAGCGCGTGCCGTTTGATTGCGACGTCGGCAGTAAATCCACAGCGCGGTAATTCCTCCTCTGGCAATTGTAGATAAAACTTGAATAAGTCATAGACTTAATTTAACCCATAGCAGCATTCAACGGTGGTCTGGAGCCTTCCACGGAGATTTCTTAATTACGGGCGGGACCCTCCAAGACAAGAGGACCGAGGCTAGGGAGATAGGGAGAAAGCGAGAGAGAGAGAGAGAGAGAGGGGGGTGTACCGAGAGACGAAAGCGTAAGATGAGAGAGAAGACCGGAAGTGCTGCTGATGGCTACAGGGGAAAGGGTTCTCCACGGCGACGAGATTTAAGAATCCTTCCTTAAGGGAAAAAAATGGCCCCCGTCGCGGAGACAGATGATAAAGCATTTCTCTAGCGACGCTTTGTCATTTTTATCATAATTATTTACGAGTTAATTACTCCGCAGCCGCACCCTGCGCCCGGCTACAGTTTCCTGCGTTTTAAAACGAGAAAAATGCTTCATTAAGACACTTCGGAGATAACACCTTTCGCGGGGTCCCACGACAGATCCGCCCCCTTTCTTCCGTTACAGGCAGCAACGGAGACAAGAGCGATATACTTAAAAGAGGCGAGATCGCACGCAGGACTCTGCGTTGAGAAACAGGCAAACGAGATTTACCGTTAATAATCCCGTTACGATCTGCATTTGCATTCTGGGAATCTCTGAAATAAAATATCGCAATGAAGATCGACGACGCTTCGTCGCGTTGCAACGAGACATTCCGCGGCGCGGGATAATTGCCGAAAATGGAGGCTTAATTCGGCGCCGTGCGAAAGTTAGTATGATCAACTTACGGGCCGAAATCGTAGCAGGGGAGGGAGGATTCCGTCACGAGGGGCTGAGCCGCACGGTCTGCCGAATTTTAAGCCTGTATAATTTAACACCTTTACTGCAGAAACTAAGAGAAACTGAAGGGAAAGACGGAGAGAGGAAAGAGAGAGGAAAGAGCCTGGGGGGGGAGGAGGGGCACGCGTGTTCACGAGGAGCGACGAGACGAACAACGAAGATCGAAGAACGAAGAGGAAGCAGGATCGACGGGATAAGATAAAGGAGGGACGACGCGACGCGAGGGGGAATGCAAAGTTCCAAGTTTTCAACGGCACTTACCTAGCCTAGTAACACTCCCCGCCTCTCCCACGGGTGCTCTGCACCAAGTGTAGCCACCGGATAGAGACGGAGATGGATAAAGAATCGGTCGCGAGGAGAGAAGGAACGGGGGAGCCGCCCAAGTAGAGTCGTGCCGCCCCTCCTTTTTGCCCGGGCACCGAGATACAAATTCATTCCTCCGGTCTTTTGTTTTCAAAGTGGAGACTTAGACGTTACAGGCGCGAGGGGCACGACGGTGGGGGGGGGGGGAGGGGAGAGAGAGAAACGCGAATTCGTTAGCGTTGTCAACCCCTTGAGGGCGGGAACCCGCGCGGCGGATTTTACGTGCCGTGCCGTGAATAATTGCTAAAATCGAATAACGAGGCTGTGCCGGGGCCGATTGATCGACCGAATTTATTCTCGGATTTCGTAAGTTGCCCCCTAATCGGATTAAATTCTTCAGAATTACAAATTCGCCCTATAATGCATTCTGATATGCATTTAAGAGCTTGATAAGCGAGAACAAATTAGATTCAATTCCGAATCGCAATGTGCTTCTTGCTCGGTTAACTGTAACTCGGAGAGAAATTGCTGGAATTCATAAAGTTTATCGAATTTGGATTAAACGTGTGTGTTGCGCGATCGTTACGTGCAAAATATTCCCGTCGATTTCAGTAAACGATACATGTTTTATTTATAATCACGCGTCAGGATCAGCGACGTGATTAAATTAACGAGCTATATTCCTAATAATTAACATTTCCTAATAATTAATCCCGAAAAGAGTGAATATATAAAACTTATTACATGCCAGTATTAATTTTTGTTTAATCTTTCATTTTACGCGACGCCCCAAATAAGCCAAAAACATTGTTCAAACAATAAAGAGACCTTAGTCCTTCTGTATATTTTAAATATTCGTAAAGAACTATTTTACGCCAGTACATAACTAACCAGTGTAAAAAAAATTGTTAAACGACGCTAACTGGCAAATTCTAATTAAAGGAATTTATTGCGAAAAATATCTTCTTAACCAGGATTTGAACCTGGACTTCCCTACACACATATGACCACATGCCTCAGTGGTCGAATTGGTGAGGCGCCCGCCTAGAGTGTAGGGAAGTCCAGGTTCAAACCCTGGCTAAGGTAATATCTTTCGCAATAAATTTCTTTAATTAAAATTTGCCAGTTAGCGACGTTTAACAATTCCTCTACATTTTAAATATTGTAATCACATTGTCTCTCGCTCGACGACGATCGCCCGTCGCGTTAAGTTTCAAGGGAGGGTTGCCTTTTTTCAGATAGTCGCGACAATTTGCAGCACTGCTCAGTGATAACCATGGTTAATTAAATCTACTTTCTCAATCTATGTTACAGCTAGAGTTATAGTCTAGACAAGGCCACGAGTCTTACTAACCAGAATTTGTTAACTAAGGCGGTCAGTGCCAAGATTGGTACAATTCCACATTTTTTTGATAAAGTCCATGCCAGTGGTAAAAACCGGCAAAAACTAATCTTCTCTATTAAAAACGATAAAATAAATGGAAAACTTTTAGAAAGCACTGTAAAAAAGTATTGTTTCCCGCATAAACTAAAAATTAATATAAAATTTAGTATCTCCGAAGTTTTCGTTTTAAAAATATGCATTAATTTCAGTAAAGCAATTTTTTTAAACTTATTATATTGGTTTCTTTTTAAAATAGTGATTAACGAGGGGAAAACCACTGAGGGCATTGTGGTGTACAGATTTGCGGCATTACTGGGCATTACTAGGCATTTTTTGGCATTAGTGTGGGCATTGGGCCTTGCTGGGACATTAAAAAGATAAAATAAGATAAAATAAGATAATAAGATAAAGTAATGCCCACTGGGCATTAGTGGGCATTGATGTACAAGATTTTGTTCAGCGGTTTCCCCCTCGGTGATTAATATCTACAATTTAGTATTTAAGATAAACATCTTTTCTCATAAAGACCATAAAAATGACTAATATTTATACAAATATATTTTAATTAAGTATTAGTTATTTTTATATCTTTTGCCAATTTATTCCATGGAATAAAGTCCGGGACGGTAAAAAATTGGAATTTCCCATAGTTTTTTCACCCCCTGGATTTTTTCCAGCCAACCCTGGTCAGTGCACCTTCACCTTCAGTGATACAGTTGGAAAATTTGTATTTTCTTGTAAAAAAACATGCCGGTTAAAATTTTTGTGTTAAATGTTTGACACATTCATGTGTTAATTTAACATATTGCTTTTGTGTTAATTGACCTCAAATGTAAAATTATTAAAATAACTGAAAGGAAATGTTAAAACAACACAATGTATACTTATTTTTTAATCTTACACAATACATACGTTCTACGAGTTCTACTCGTATATTATTGGTAACAAAATTTATCTGTTAAAATTTACAGAATAAAATGTTGATTTTATGCTATACAGAGTATACTAAAACCATCGGATGTCCTTTTAATCGCAGATTCTTTAGAAAATTTCAAGACAAAAATAAAAAGTTATTTATTTTGTCATTAAAAATATGTTAATTTTGACAGAAAATTTATTTTAAATTATTTTAAGATTTGCATTTATTTTGTGTCAAAATATTAACAGAGTATTAGTGTAATCATTTCACATATCCATATTAAATTAAATTAACACAAAAAACTTGTGTGGACCGTTTGTGACATCGGTTAAATTTAACGTAAATTTTTCAACTGCGTACGGTACATCACTAGCATTGATATAAATCACACACTAGATTACTAGTTGCCGAGAAGGCTTTAGCGAAAGAAAGCATATCGTACAGGCATCCCTGCCTGTCCGTTTACGGAATACGTTTCGTACGCATAGATCGATAGAGAAATGACACGAGTACGCTTCGACCTCTCGCTGCTCGCGGCGGCGTCGGGCGCTCTTTATGAAGGACGTGCGCCTCCGATCGCATAAATTTCCCGCGCTAAGTCGAGATCGTCGATCGAGCCAAAATTGAAAGAGAACAGCGGAGCGCACCGAACACCGTGGCAAGCGTACGGCCCGTAATCCTCACGCGTCTTCTTTTATCTTGCAGAACGCGGCGGGCGGGCCTCAGCGGCAGGCGAACGGGGAAGCGGCGGCCCACAACCACAACGGATATCCAGCGCCAGCCAGCTCGAGCGCCCATAACGTCCTGAACCCCATGAATAATTTAAACGGTATCAATGCGCAAGCATCGTACGATGCCAAATGACAAACGAAGTAAGCGCCGATATATCGATTGAGTCTCGCACGAGGGCGGGTCGCCTCGTGCGTGGCCGTTCTCATTGTCTTCGTGGTTTGCCGCGCCCGCTGATCGTCCGAACTGTCGTCCTAACTTTAGCACGCGACCCACAGCGAATTGCGCACAATCGGATGTGTCCCTTGACTATCGGGAGAGAAAGGAAGGTATCGCCGGGTTGTCGCGAGCAGGAGAAGGTGTTACCGCGTATAGATATCTATTACATGTATAATCGCATTAAACGGCCCGCTCCGCGTCGCGACAGGGCGGAGGACTTGAAATATGTAAATAGAGGGCAACCGTGAAAAGTACGATAGTGTTGCGGACAACGCGAGTAAGTGGCATAGGAGAATTATAACGCATCGTCTGACGAAATGTAGGGAAGGATTAATTTAAAAAAAGTATGTATATCGTGTTCTTCGGAAGTGACGCTTTCCGATAAATGATAAGATTGCCAATGCCGCTATCTCTCCTACGCTATTTTAGGCGTCGTTTGCCGAGCGCGTATCTCCCGGGCGAATTATTATTCCGGTCTTCACGAATAGAATCTCTCCGATATAAGATAGGACGTGAGGGAAGAATATATAAATCCAAAATGCGCTCTTGCATCTAATTAGATTCATGTATCCGAACGAATTCGTCTTCCCCACGCTCGACTGGTTAGACGATAAACAAGTAGATAGATAGCTAAATAGATAAGTAGGTAGGTAGCTAACGGAACGTATATTGGCCAGCTTATGGCGAACTATTGGTGCTCTTTAGATTATAACTGATCGAGTTTGCATGATTCAGAAACCGCTAAAGCGTAATGCTAACGAAAAAAAAGGTACTGTAAGATCGAGGGAAAAAAAACAAGTTAAGAAATTCACGGGCTAGAGAAGAATCTCCCGGTCGCGACTCCTCCCGGATTTATCCGCTTTCGTGAAGCCCTACGGTAAAGGTATCTATCTGCTTCCGGTCGGTGCGAGGTATCCTCAACAGCCGGCGGTGCCACGAGCCGAAACCCCGAAACTTCGGGGCGGTAAATAAAGTTTGGCGCCGCGCATTTAACGTTCGCCTCGCCGAGGCGGTGAGAAGATGGACAAGATGACCCTCGGAGGGCACCGACTCCTTGCCGGACGGGCATCGAGACCGAGATCGAATCGATGGGCTTCGAGAGAAGGCGACTGCAGCAGCAACAGCGGCAGCAGCAGCAGCCGCTCGCCAGCTCGCCACCCCATGGGGCTCATACGTTAGGGGTGACTTAAGCATTGTTTCAACTTCGAATCTCCCGGCAGAGGCCCAGATTGATGTCGCGAACTTTTCCGCTGCCTTATTTGCGAGTCAGATAACGAGGCTGAGTTATGCCCAAAGTTCTCTCTTGATCTCCAACCCCCTTCTCCGGCCCGGCCCGTGCTGATCGTATCGGATCACGAGGAATACCCGCAGTCGAAAAGGATGTTTTATTTCCTCCCTCTTCGGGGATTCGTCGTCGATGCCAAGAGTACCTACGGCGAACGGTAATAGGCTGGCAGCTGCGCCGAGGAGATACTTAAGAAGCGCGATTCTCGCGGTTTCCGCGCCGGCCGCGAATTAGATCTTTGCAATAATTACTGTTTATTACAAGGGGCTAACCACTAGCCAAAATGTTGTCCCACCGATTACACGATTTCATTTCATTTCATCCGATAAATAATCTCATCTGATTGCAAATAATTTTCTCTTATATGCACGTTTAAAAATATGCGACGTTGTTAAACGTCAAAATATATTTTTCTTATTTTACTAAGAAGCATTTGCTTGTAGAAGAAAGTTCAGTTAAGATTGTAGTATTCGGTTAGGTAGTGTTTCCTTACTTTCCCACTTTTCCCACTAGCCTAATCGTGGCCTTAATATATCACTAATATTAACGTAATGTTGCAATGTATTATTATATATATAAATGTATTATGTCAGTAATATTACTATAATATTACTATTGCAATATTATAATATTATTGATATATTACGTAATATTATGTGCTATGTGGGAAAACAATGTAAATTCCCCGACTATTTATACGGCAACACTTTAATTTTAGTTATTTTTACCTTAGCCGGTTTTTCCGCGTAGGCGTCAACTATGATTATATATTTGGATATTCACTGAAAGAAGTAAATTTTTTGTGGAAAACAAAAACAAGCTCAGAAAATGTTCAAGTTTAATGTTTATTGCCTGTCGAGTGAAGAAGCCTGAAAATGAAGATAAAACGATAACACGGGAATTTCGTAAGGACTTCATAATGATTTCGGTGACCTGTCTCACGACTACATCGAGTGGTTACCCCCTTGGTTTATCATCGGCGGCGAGAGGAATTAAGAAATAAATATCGCGACTCCGCGAAACTAATTTGGAGCCGACTATGAGTTCGTCGTTAATGAATTGCGTTAACAAATATTTTTCTGCGTTGCGTTACTTTTAATGCACTTTCATGCGAATGTAAGCACAAAATGTATAAATAGCTTGGTTTCTCGATTCCACCTACATGTAATCCCCCTCCCCCCGCGCATAGTTTTGTAATTTCCTTTCGAAATATGTTAAGAGAAATGTGTGTATGTATATAAATATTAAATGGCCGCATCTTTGAATTACTCTAAATAATATGACATGTATCATAATTGATAACGAGTGCCAATTTGTCGGCGCACTTTCCTTCGCAAAAATAAAAGCATCATACAAGTACGCATTTATTTCAATCCGCCGAAATTGATAATCCGGTAATCGGTCTCGAATTGTCAGGACGACAAGGGAGGACTATTGCCGACCTGCACTTAATAATTTTGATACCGCAACACGAGAGTACGCGAGGCTCGCGTTCACCAGACGCGTTAAAGTCGCCCGAACCGAACTAGATTCCTTGCGACGTTCAAACGCGCCTCGGCGATTGTAACCGATAATTCTCCCGCAAGGTGTACACGGCGGTTGCAGAATAAAACCAGCATACTTAAATAAATTAGGACTCTCGAGGTATAAAAGTCAAAAATACCAGGTGCGAGTATAAAAGTCAAAAATGAGGCGTGCGAGAGTCAAACGCTGTGTTTCCAGCGAATTTCACGAGGTCGTGAGAATAAAAATACAAATAATATTATTAACCATCGCGACATTATAATTGCATTCTTATTCCCGACTTTTTCGCTAAAAATACAGCGTCTGATGCTCTCGCACGCCTCTCTTCCACTTTTTAAAGCCAGCATAGTTCCTAAAACGCGAAGGGTCTTCGACGCAGCGATCGCTAAGGACACATTTGTACCGCACCACGCGACTACCGAACGAACGTTCGACAAAGCACAGCCAGTGCGAGCATCGGAGCCCTTTTGTACATTATATCCCACGGTATCGCTTTCCGCGCACTCTCCACGGACCATGGGCCAGCGGCGCGTCCAGCACCGATCGCGCTTGGATCGCGAAAGAACCGAGGTCAATAAACTAAGGAAAAGTGTGTACGTTCGCTAGTATGTAGACACGTTTTGTATTCATAGTTCTATCATAGACGTATCAATAAATTTGTTTCGATGTTATGCAAAATGCACAGTTCTTGTGGCTTTAAATCGCGGCGCGAGGGACGCGAGACCGAGGCCGGCGCTCACCCCGTTCCCGCGTTTCTTCCGGTTCTTCTAAAGATTTTGTACTCTGGGAAAAAAGACAGCTAGCAACCCCATTTTGGGCCCACAATTAGTAATCGCATTATTTGGATTGTTCGTGACTCTACTCTGGGAAAAATGTTGACCGTTTTTCTTTTGTAGTTAAGCGACTTAATATTTCGGTTAGCGCCTCTTAAGTGAAACTTATCTTTACGTTGCTGAATATCGACAGAACTAATTGAGAGAATTGATTAGTATCACTTGAAAATCTTGGATATAGATAGAATAGCTAATTGCAATTTTTAGTTACGCGGGGTAAAATTCGTAAAAGATTAGAGTTTGGAAAAATCCAGATAATTCGCTTACTAATTGTGGGCCTCAAAATGGGTCGCTGTCTTTTTTTTCCCAGAGTACTCATAGTCCTATCATAAAGGTATCGATAAATTTGTTTCGATGTTATGCAAAATGCACACAGTTCTTGTGGCTTCGAATCGCGAGGGACGCGAGACCGAGGCCGGCGCTCACCCCGCGTTCCCGCGTTTCTTCCGGCCCTCCTAAAGGTTTTACGCCGCCGGCTTCCGGCGCGAACGCGCGATATTGATTCGCGACGTCGCGACGTCGCGGGAATCAGCGCGCGGAATGACTTTCGCCACCTCGACTCGGCCGCCCCCTACGCTACCCTCCCCCCCCCCCGCACATCCGCCGTGCGTATCTCCCTTGAATTATTTAAGGGCGCTACGTGATTGGCCGACAAAATCCGGTCGGCCTCAATAATTTACCAATCATACGCGGTCCTTTGTGTTTTATACGCCGCGTTTCGAATAAATCGCATTGTGTATTCAGGAGAGCGGCGTCCAACTCTATTCGGGCGCGAACGCGAACCCTCTCCGCGCATCCGGGCGCGGCGAGAAAAAGGCGAGGCGAAGAAACGGAAGAGGAAGCGACCGGGGAGATCGCGAGGGGGAGGGCGCGATCGCGCGCGCACGAATTGACTCGAAATTCGGCTGAACATCGCGAATTTATGACGAGAGGCCGCGAGAGGAGAACGCAATATCTCCCCCCCGTCCCCCATAACGCTCGGCTTCACAAGTATCGCTAACGCCAAGTTAAGTTTAATACTTGATGCGGCGAGACCTACAACGGTACACGCTGAATATTTCGCGAGAGCACGCGGGCTCGAAAATTGGAAGGAAGAAAGCCGTCCTAATACCCGTATGAATTAATACGTGCTTTTTCTACCAATACGCGTCTCCCGGATGGATTCCGCTCGAATGAATGCGTGATGGAGGATGATCGAGATCCAGCCGGCGGCGAACAACTCGCGGCTCCTCCACGGGAATCCATAAAGTACACGCCGCCCACCGAGGCAATTTGTTTCCCCGAGAATTAATGCGCCCGCGATGCTTTTTAATATCGACGTATCTCGACGGGGAGAGGTGGAGAATTCGGCGGGGGCGACCGCGCGTTGCCCGGATAACAAGGTGATTTAACGTCACGGGGCGAAACTGCTTATCTACGATCCGACGGAGCGGACGGGCGAGCGACGGTAAGTAAACGAAGCGGGGGAACGAGAGAGACGGCCGCGAGCATTCGATGCAAATTGGCAATTTTTCCTCGCACGGCTCGCGGTAATCATTGGCAATTAGAGCACGGGGCATTCTCTCGGCTTCCCCCCCCCCTCCTCCCCCTCTCGATAAATGTTATTTATGACTACGATTATCCGGGGCGCGCCTAGCCGTCCGAAGGTACGCCTAACTACAATCTCCCGACCGTCTAATTGGCTGTCGATTACGCCTGTTTGTACAAAACGCGGCACTTCGTTGCGAGCGTGAATGAGGAAGCCTCTCCCTCCCTCCTCCGCCCCGCCGCGCCGGGTCATTTCGTTCCTTTAATCGCCACAGTCGTCACGCGGACGCATATTTGCACGGCGAGAGAATTATTACTGCGGGAGAGTAATTGAGCTCGGACGATGCGCGATCCTCGCGCGAATCTTGGGAGGAGATGTAAAATGTTTGCAGCGAGGGGGTAAACCGCCGAGGGCATTGCGGTGTACAGATTTTCCTTTAAAATTTATCCCGAAAATTGTATAGGCGCGGGACAACGCGGCGTTTCAAAGAATTTTATGGGTTTCTTGAAATTTTATCATACATTTTCCATTTACCAGTAAAATGTATGGTAAAATTTCAAGAAACTCCCGTAAACTTCCTCAAAATGCCATGTTGTCCCACGATCACACGATTTTCGGGACAAATTTGAAGAAAAAGTTCTCTCCGTGTAGAAAGTTTAATAAATATAATTCGACAGATTATAAATCTTTGGAGATTTTCTTATCCCACCCATGCTATTTATTTTTGCAAGCGTATTCGCATCCGGAACGAGCGTCGCCGCGACGTTTAAACGCCGTTTTACAAATTTACAATATTATAGATATTGTAAATCTCGCGCAGACACCGCGCGAGAACGCCCGTCTGTTTACCCGTCGCGGAAGTGCGCATCGACTCGCCTTCTCTCCTCTCGTTACGCGGAATCGTTATTTCCGTTCGGACTCTACCCTCTTGTTTAATCGCGAGCAAATTACCCCGTGGAATCGCAAAACTCCCCCGCAGCCACGAGCAACTTGCGAGAAACGCGAGAGCGTCATTATCTGCTCGCTAACAATTTTTCCAGGCGCCCTTTCGTCGTCGTGGAAAAAAAAGGGGGGGGGGGAAGGGACGTCGCGGCTGCGTGGTTCCGCGTAAATCACGCAAATCACGTATCGCGCGGGGAATCCGGCGCGGAAAAGGGGGAGTCGCGCGGCACTTTTCCGCGAGCGCGGTCTCTGAAACAATATTATTACTAAAAGCCGCCCCCACCCCCACCCCCCCCCTTCCCCTCCGACTGCTTCTCGCGAGAGATCCGCGCGCGAAGAGAAATGGCGGAGCGCCGCGGACCGTACGGCGACGGAGGAGCGATTAATTAAAAGAGCAAAAACTGTTTTCATAAAATTCATTTGCGGAAATATGCGCCGACTGAAATAATATCCGGCCGCCGATGGGAGAGAGCGGCGTGTCCCGTTCTGGCATACAGAGCCGGTCCCGGTGGTCCGCGCG